AATGCAATCAATAGACACTAGGCAAAACCACAAAGCTAAATTGACTTTATAGCCACTAGAAAATTTTTTTACTCAATTTATATATAAAACAGGTAAAACCTAAAATTGGTAAAAAAAAAATAGCTCTTGATATTTCTCGAATCCGTAAAATATGAAAAGTGAAGACAAATGGAGCAGGGAGAAGAACTAGCAGACAGAACTGCAGTAATATAAAAAGATAAAAAATAAAAAAAAAAGAAAGAGTAAAAGCAAGAAAGAGAGGAAAAAGGGCGTTGGACAGTGACGAGCGGTATATAGTAGATAGGACCCACAAAATAAACTGAAATCGCCCTTGTACTCATCCCCTACGTTCATTCTATCACCCTCTAACATCTCTTGGTCTTTTTTTTTCTACCTCCCCACCTTCTTTTCTCTTCCAACTATCCCGGTAGCTCAGCCAAATAAATTACACCGTCTCGTGACGCGAAAAAATCCAACGAGTTGCCAGCGTGAGTGAGGCTAAGCAAGAGCGTGAAGAGTAAGCGAGACAGTTAGAAGAATGATGAAAAAAAATTTTAATTAAAAAAAAAAGAGAAATTCAACAGGATATTCTGGTATATACCAAGCAAAAACACTACATTTCTAGGGAGTTGGATAAAATGTGGCTTGTATATGGCATATTTTTATTAATGGCGCGATTAAAGAATAGATTTATATGAATTTATGTTTATTACAGTAGAAGATGTTATTTGAGTATAGAAAAAATTTTTTTTAAATGATTTAGAACATTTGAAGGAGAATAAGTTGTAAGATAATTCATAGTAATTCCACACTGACAACAGTTACATTTAAGATATAAACTCATTCGTATGAAAAAAACGCAGCCCGATTCAAACTGTTTTATCAGTGTGGAATTACTATGAATTGTTTTTTGACATATTCTTTTTCGAATGTTCAAAATCATTAAAAAAAATTATTTGCGAGTAGAATGAATGATTGGGAAAGAGTTCGCACCCAATTCGAACTTCCTAAATTCAAGTTAGGCGCCAAATGGGATACCACATAAGGCCCGAATTGGGAATGTAACGCTTGTCCCTATTGGGACGAAGTGAGGAAAGCCTAATTGAATTTCCGCGAAAATACAGATGCTGAAATTTGTTCCTTGAGGAATTCGAACCTACAATCGCTACCTTGCTCACATCTGAGACCAGTGTCTTTACCCGCTCGGCTATTCATTCAATTAAAAACTTATTACTATTATATCAATATGAACGAATCCATATGTATAATTTTTTAACAGATTTATGTAAATCATTACTTATTTTAAATCTCAATAATAAATAATGATAATGGTTTAAATATTTTCATACCTTTAAATTATTTATTTTGTCTAAAACTACAATATATTTCCAGTCAACATAATCCAGTTAAGGTTTAATAAAAACAGTTAACTATTATTGAAAGCACAAAGGATATCTGGAAGTATTTATATTATTAAAATACTTTGTTATTGGAATTAAAAAAAAAATACTTAATTTAATGTAGATCTTTTATATTGTTACATGTTTACTTTTAATTCATCCTTACAACTTTTTGATTCGTTTTTCAAACATTTTAATGAGGATAATGTAATATGTGCCTAATTCAGATGTAATTTTTGTTAGCCCTATGCGGACCTGATAAAAATTTCCTAATAAATGACGAATAAAGACATTGTGTCAGTTAAGTTCATAAGGTTGTAAATGGGAAGTTATTGGGTAGTGCAAAATTAGAAAAATCTTATTTCATCCAAAAAACAACTTTATATAAGGCATAACTAATATTAGGCATAAGTTAGAAATACCTAATTTACACTAACCCATTCAATGCCCAATAAGGGCACAATAGGTATTTAGACACGCCTAAAATAAATTCTACTCGGGTAAGTGCAGAGTACCTCTAATCGCTCCATCGGCCGACAATGAATATGTAAATAAAAACAAAAATAAAACTTATCGTAATTCTAGTAATGACTTCTTAAAAATTCTTAATTGTAAATAAATATTTTTACAATAGTTTAAATAATATTCTCCTGAATAATCTAAATAAAAAAGATCACAAATTCGAAATATTAATCATCAAATAAAGATTACGTTCAGTTAATAAGAAATGATGAAATGAAATGTTAAAAATACTTTATTGTTACTGTAAAATTTACTTAAATGTAAAACACCTTCATGTGACAATAATACTGTAAATCCATGTCCATTCTTGTTGCTTTCAATGTGTTTCTAAATGTGTAAAAAGTGACTACAATGTTAATAAAACGGATGACGTCATATCTAACACATTTAGATGTGTAACAAACATGCACTTGGATTTACAGTGAAATAATGCCAAAATACTGCCCAAAGATTCTTGAAATGAAAATAATAATTCATAAATTGAAAACTAATAAGCCAGAATTTTTATCCTATCTCCCATATCTTTAATTATCCCCAACCTTTCAAAAACGAAATCATAATCAATAGATATAATTATCAAATAATTCTCATAAAAGTATTTTTCTCGCTTTTGAAACCAGAATTCCTTCAATGAAAGAAAAAAGACGTGGAGAAAAAACGAATAAAAGATAAAGACAGATAAAAATTGGACAAAAAGTAGGATGGAAGCTCATTGGTTCGTGGCAATATGGTCCGTTTTAATTGGTTCGACGTGGTCAGATGAAAAATTCAAACCTTTCCCCTTTCTTTCATTATCCTCTCCACAAGCAGGTGGAGATGGTAGGGAAATTCAGATGCTTTATAAACGCTTGGACGAGTATGAAAAGAACGCAAGTACATTGTGTTATGTAGGGTAAAGTGTAGTACGTTTGTCAATGAAGAAAAAAAAATTCCTACACATTCATTAACAAGTAACTTTTTAACAATGTATACAAAATTTAAAAAAAGTACACAAAATAATTAATATTACTGTTGTCACAAAAAGCATGATTATTTATATTTATCAAATAACTTTTGAACAAATAATTTCAGTTATGATCATCATGTATATTTTACGTATATGTTAGACGTTAAAATAGAACAAACATCTATGGATTTATTTCCTTTGATTAATGGATACCTTCTCTCACTGTGCATCCAACCAAACTTGCGCTAGCAGAACTCATTTCCGGGGTTCCAGACAACTAGAAAGTACCGTGGTTATGTCTAACTAGAAAATAGTCTTCTTGTAAATGTGTGTCTGTGTATGTCGTTATTCTTCAATTTTACCATCTATTGTCATGTTAGAAATAAATATCGGAATCCATAACGGTAGTCGTTCTAAGAAAATTAAAAGAAAGAAATAAAAATACGGTTCATTTGGCCCAATTATTCGAATGATTTAAAGACAATTTACGAATCTAGGAATTTTTTACGATAAAAAAAGTTATTAAAGGATTATAATTTTTTGGGAAAAAATAATTATTGATCAAGAAGTAACAACACAGAAACACCAATTTCATTGATCTATGAACTTTAATTTTATGATGCTATAAAAAAAAGTACCACAAAAATAATACTAAAAGACGTAGGAAAACGATATAATTCAACCGACATTTAGAAATAGCAAAAAAACGTGGAAGAATTTCTGGTTGTTTTGACGCTTTTAATTATAGTACGTAAGATATGAGACGACATTCTGTCATTGTCTATTTTTTTTTCTCTTTGTATTTTCTTAAATTGTTTTTCGTTTTTCTCTTATTTTTTCTGGCATTTTTTCTATAACTTTCAATAATACACATTTGAAAGAGTTATAAGAAATTTTAAAAGACCTTAAACTATAAAAACTCATCTGCGAGTATTAAAACATTAAAATATTAAGGTGAACAATTTTTAATGAACAGAAAAGTATCTTAAAAACCACTAAAAAAATTTTTTGTTTGTTACATTGAAGAAAATATTGAGCGACTATTACTGATCAATTTAGCTTGTCTAGGATGCATAGTGGAAATTACCTGATTTAGGATAAAAATACACGTTGACGTCCAAAATTGGGACTCTATACCTAAAAATTAAATAGATGACTCTACGATTTATACATCACAATCTTTGTGAAAAAATACACTGACAGAATTAGGGGATCGAATCCGGGCCTTCCAGTTACACGCTACATGTTCTACCATTCAAGCTATTCTAGACACGTGTAAATTCTCCTGCTAATTATGCTCGCACTCGTTTCAGTGTAGCTTTCCCCATTTCTTCTTTTAGCATGAAATTCGATATATAATAATTACAAACACTTTTCTATGACAAACATACAAAAACACCAATTTGGAATTAATACACGCAGAGAAATGTATAGTAAAAATTACCCTGAATTTGATGGTAATTTGCTGATAGTGCAGGATGAGGGTAAAAATTACTAAACTACAAAGTAATTTTTAAGGTGAAATTAAAGTAAAAATTACTATGCAGTTTAGTAATTTCTACAATGTGTATAGTAATTTTTACTCTCATCCTGCACTATCAGCAAACTACTATCAAATTCAGGGTAATTTTTACTATACATTTCTCTGCGTGTATATATTAAGAAGCGTTAAATAAAAATTACTCCAAAAGATGGTAAAATTACCCCCTGAAAAAAGAATTCCTACAAAGTCCACAATAATTGTACCAATTTTCGCAGTGAATTTCACATTATAATAAGGTAATTTTTACTTCATTCTTCTTTCTATATTTCAGAATACCTTATTAAATGTGAATTTTACTCTTTTGTGGGATAATTTTTACTTCGATCGAATACTATCAAATATCCATCAGTTTAAATTTTTCTCCCTTCCCCTGATAACTTTTCGAATAAGCTTTCTACAATCTTAAATCTAATAAACCCCGCATAATAACATCAAACAGCACCTGGATTGAACTTATGCTTAACAAAGTACGCATTGAAGTGTGAAAATGTATACATAACCATTTCACACTTCAAAAATAATTGATAGTCTATTGTAAGACAATATTTGTCTGATTTAACAAGAGATTAAAGTGAAGAGAAAAACCTACTTGTCCGAGTTTGTCCTCTTTCCTTCGTTTAGGATCACTTTCAAGGTCAGGCGTACGTGATCGAAATTTATCTGGTGATACGGATTGTCTTAGTCGTTCATCGGAAATTGTAATAGGTTTCCGGTCTTCAGGTGTTTCAGTTGTACTTCGGTGCTGTTGCAGATCTGAAGATTTCAAAAGTGCTTGAGCTTGAACTGCTGCGGCTGCTGCAGCTGCTGCTGGGTGTGGTGGTGGCGCTAAGTGAGGTGGAACACCCGCTGCGGCCGCTGCACCCGCGAATCCTAAAAGACTTGCCGGAGGTAATGCACCCACTACTGCACTGTGAGGTAATTGTTGCGCGTGGATTTGTTGCTGGAAGAGAAATATATTATTAACATTAATATTAACATCATCAATTTTTCACGATTTAAAGTTTAAAAGCCCAACAGTGATGATGTTTAGTAAAAACAAAAATCAAAGGTCAAATACTTCCTCAGAAAATGTATTACAAAAAAAAAACGTGTATTCATAATTACTTTTAACGGCACTGTCAAGCTTGCAAGCTCCACACGGAAAAAAATTATCTGTAATAGCAACAGATTTTCAATATGTTGCTGTTATTTTTTTTGTGATCTCAACAGAAAAAATTGTAAAATTTACAACTGTAGTCTGTAATTACAATAAAAAAAACTGTTGTAAATATGAATACAACCATCAGTAGAATTATTGTTTACAAGAATATCATGCATGTTTACTAACAAACTAGTCTGATTAATTAACTTTTCACTATCGTAAACATCTTATTTATGCTATTTTCGTTTAATAATAAAACTATAATAATTTGAATATTATAAAAATAATAAAATTCATAAAATTGAAGAACCAATGACTATGCTAATTATATTCCGAAGAAAAAATCATAAAAATCAACTGATAGAACATAAATTGTTCTTACAATTCCTTTTTTCTTTCGTGAAAATAACAAACATGTGAAATTATTCTTTTTAAAACTGGTGTCGATACAAAGAGAGTTAAGAATGTCAATTTCATCTAGTTTACTTGACTAAAATCTGTTGTCATTACAGATAATTTTTTTCGTGTACCCAAGTAGAATTTATTTTAGGCGTGCCTAAATACCTATTGTGCCCTTATTGGGCATTGAATGGGTTAGTGTAAATTAGGTATTTCTAACTTATGCCTAATAAAGTTGTTTTTTGGATGAAATAAGATTTTTCTAATTTCGCACTACCCAATAACTTCGCATTTACAACCTTATGAACTTAACTGACACAATGTTAAAAATTAGTTAATTAAACAACTTAGTCTTTGCCTATTTTTCCTTAAAATAATTTTCAAATCAAAATTTGGAGCTTTTTTGAAACTCAATTTGTACACACTTTAGAGTTTACAAGCTCCACTTTGAGTAAAGCATTTGGAATAAATAAAAAAAAGTGTTATGTTAATTATTTCCAAGTTCTAAATATCTTCAAAATAATATAAACTTTAAAGAAAAGTTTCCGTACTTGAGGTTTTAAACTTAAAAAATTGACTGGAATCAATTTACTGGTGAAAACAATCTATTACTTGAAATGTTTTTAACTCTTGAAGAACTGATCATAAAAAAATGAGTTGGATATCATTAAAAAGCTCAAAGTGTCTCTCAAACTTATCTTAAACGCAAGCTTTGAAAATCAATAGAATCGGGGAAGAATGAAAAGCTTGAAAATCACTGATCAATATAAGAATACTCACCAAAAGTTGTTGCAATCCTTGTTGTTGCTGTTGCTGAACAGAAAATCAACAATAATAAATAAGACAATTTATGATAAATATCATGAAATAATAAATTGATGAAAATAACAAAATAAAACTTACTCCAATAATTGCATTGAGCTCCGTCATGGTGACTTGTTTTGCCCTCTCCACCGCATTTGCCACTTGCTGCTGGTGCTAGAAGCGAGGCTATCATTATCGCGTCGTCGTGCTTCTTTAGTTATCGTAACTAAAGTCACGCGGCACGCGGCGCTTTATAATCAACAATCAATAAACTCACCTCTTGCGCTAAACAGGGCATTATCTGTGATATTATCACGCTCAATCTCTTCGCTATTTCCGTCTGTAAAATGATATTTATTACTTCCATTAATTATTATCATATCATTTCAATTATTTCTTTTTATTGTATTCACTGTTATATTTAATAACAGAAAATAATTTTTGTTAGCTCTAAAACGTTTTTTTTTTTTTTTTAAATTTGAACATTTTCGTATTAAGAATTAGAAAAAAAAAAATTAGAAACAAAATGGATAATTTTAAGGAAATTGATGTGCAGAGATTGTGTTTTGACTACTTGAAATTTCGCTCTAATGATTAGGGACTTTTTAGTGTTTAGTTATTTTGTATCACATGCTAGATTAGTATTAAGATGTATAGGGATTTTTTTTTTTAATTTTAAAAAATTTTACTCTAACGACTAGGAATTTTCTATAATCTTTATCTTCGCTAATTAGGAATTTCTTAATGGTTTTAAATCATTTTCTATCTAATTTCAAATAAATTATGTGATTTATAATTATTTCATTTAGCTTCCAGGTATTTTCTTGTTCTTTTTTCATAGGTTATTGAGACAGTCAAATGTAACAAGAAAGATGGCATTGATTAAAAGAAATAATTTAATGTGATAGAATAAAACAAAAAAAATATCGCGTACACTCACTTTAGCCTATTAATAGAAATCCATAAGAATATGGTGCTAATGAATAAATCGGTAGCTTTTTCGCTTCGTCTATTCTCCTCATTTTATCGAACAGAAGATAAGAGAAAAAACGAAAAATCCTTAGCAAATAAGCAGACAAAAATATATTCAGATAAATTATTAGTTTTTTCCTTAAATATTTCATATTTAATTCAAGTTCCACTTTTCAAAGTTCTTTGACAAAAAAAATACCGCGAATAAACAAAAAATTTCATGATGAAAAATTGATTTTACCAAAAAAACCATAATTAATAATAAACAAAATATGTAGAATATTCAGGTAAGATAATGAATTTAAATAAAACTAAATGAAAGTTTTAAACCTTTGAAGTGTTGATATAATTAAAAAAAAGCTGACTGTGTTAATTAATGAATAAAAAAGAAATTTTTTAAATATCATTTTTAGCGATTTAGTATAGAGAAAAAGGGCGTGGAAGAAAAATAAAAGGATTGAAGCGAATGAGCGAACGAATGAGGACGCAACGGAAAAAAATGGTTATTCTTTTTTTGCAAATGTGTTCGATGCACATGCAGCAACGATTCTCGGTAAACGAATGGTACTAGGAATGATAAAGGGGTAAAAAGGTAACAGAGGATTGGTAGAGATGATAAAAGGGGGTGAGATGAGAGGTATAGAAGCCGGTAGACATCGAAGGGGGATTGAAGTAAACGGGGTGTATTGAGATTAGCAATGGGTAAAAAAATCGATGTCATCGTTCCCATCCTCCTCTCTTGTATTCCCTCTCTCCCTATTTTAGTCTCTTCCACTCCCTCCCTTTCTCCAATCCCCCTTTCAACTTTCCAACGACCACACTCGCTTCAACCCTCTCCAATGCAGCCGGAGAGCCAAATAAAACAACGCTAGTACACACTTTCCGCGTAGCTGCCATGCGAGACTAGAGAAAGAAAAAATCCAACTACTCACACCCTCGAAAATTCTCGATGGACGTGGATAAGAGGGAGTTAGAAGGAGGGGGGAAGGGTGACAGTGATGGTAGTAGTGGTGGATGGGTGGCTTGGATGGTACAGAAAAGAAGAAATAAAAATGAGATAGGGGCTAAAATAAAATTGTTCAGAATAAAAGAAATATGGACGACATGTCAGGTGGAAGATGAGTTATATGCAATTGGTCAGTCTGTGAATTTTTGTTTCGTCCAACGATAACTTGCGATTGTCGATAAAAATATAAATGTATTGTCATTATTTTGTTTTTCAGATTTTTTTAAATTTTTTAGAATTGAAAAATTGCATTTAACACTAAACTTTTTAGAAATTGAGACAAATAAACAAAATTATTATATTGAGACTAACTAGGGCAGAATTTTGTGAAATATTCTACAAAGCATAATCAGGATTAATTTAAAACTAAGGCGCATTTAATTTTTTGGAAGTTATTTTTTGAAGTCACTGAGACTAAGTTAAGTCTAAAAATAATAAAATTTTTCGTTGAATTCTATTCATCAAAAAGGTAATATGCTACCCGTTAGTTAAATATCAATTGAGACTCATTCCATGAAATCAATAAGACTAAAATTTTATGAATATTTTTATTGAATTTTATCGTTAACGTTAATTGAGACTATTTCCTGGGAATGAGTAAGACTGAGTTGAGGCTAAAATTGATAAAATATTCTTTAAACTCAATCAAGTGAAATTTTAGACCAATCTACCAAAATTGTGCCTAAATACTGTTGGGGACTAACAGGCTAATAAGATGAAATTAAGATTATAATTTATGACGCCATATTCGTCATTTTAAATTCACCTTATCTATTGAGCGGTATATACTAAATTATAAATCGTAAAAAACTTTTTTGTTCACTTAAAACAAAAAAAAGAATTTTACCATGAAAAATATCTCTAAATATTTGTCACACTTGAGACAATGATTCCAGGCTTACTTTTTGACAGACACTCATTGTGAATGTTTAAAAAATAGCTCCGAATAAAACAAAGGTCTTAGAAAATTTCCGGGAGTTTTTGGAGCGTGAAAAATGAAAAGAAAGAACGGAACAAGAGGAAGATAGCAAAGTAAATGGTCTATACTTTAAGACCACTAAAAATAATTTTTTTTTTCTGTAATTACATGATGATTATTCTATTACATTATAACACTTGCATACGAGCTTTTTTTAAATCAATTTTTTTTTATTTTGTTAGAGTTAAGTTATTAGTTAAAGGAAAGTTTACATTGAGAACAGAAAAAAAATTTTTGACGGTTTTGTTTGAGGTTATTAAAAGAAAGTAAAATAGTTAAATTGGGACAATGCCAACTAATTCAACTCAACCAAGATATAAAATAAAAGTAAAACGATAAAATAGGCAATAAAAGCAGTTGCCGGAAGTGTTGACTTCAAGCAACAAAAGTTAAAAAATAAAAAAATACATTATTTAAGAAAAAATGTTTCAAATGTCTACAATAATAAAATAGTTGGTAGATTATGCATTGTTTAAATTACCTGCTTGTGCATTTCCATATTCAGGCCGTAGGACATTTCGTAATACTGGAAAATAAAGTGCTATCAGATTTTCTCATTTTCATACTATAAAATTAAAAAAAAAAAATTATTTCCTCCCCCAGAGATTGACCACAATTTTTATAATCATTATTTGGAAGATAAATTAAATTAATAAGAATCGCATGGAATTTTGATCTTGAAAATTAAAAATTTATTTAGATAATTAGTCAGTAATCAAGCTTTATGAACTGACATGATTGAGCAATTAATAAATGGACTATAGTCACAGTACGATATGAAAACCCATTCTGAAAATCAAATATTTAATTTGTTAATAAATAATTAAAAAATAATTGATAAATAAATGTAGATAAATAAACATAAAAAATAAATTTGATTGATTGAATTGAAATATTTTTACAATAAATTTCAGATTGAATTTTCCAATAAAAGTGACAATTATTTCCCAAAAGTAATGTTAAAAAAGTTTGAAGGGAACAAAAAAGAATAAAAAAATCCAAAAATCTATTCCGTTTAATTAGTGTAAATTACATAAGTAATTAATTGAAAAAAGAACTTATTTATGTTGGATTGATGAACTTAATTCGTAAGCATAACCATTAGTTGATCCTGGTAGGTATAGAAACTGGTTAGGTCCAACACCAGGCTTAATACAGGACCTTAGTATACAATCACAGCTTACTATAGGACTAAAAATTAAAAGAAAAACGACACAGTAAAACCTCGCTTACATTGGAACTTTGAAAATCTAATGAGAAGTATAGCAAAAGAGTAGAAATTTCCTTCGCAATTTGATTAGACAAATCCCAAAACAAAAGAAATAAATGTAATATAGGTTTTACTGTATTACGAGTTCCGTCAAGCCGATCATTGCTAATCCAAGTGTTTTATCCGTGATTAGAAACTATACACTTTAAGTGTTAATAGAGATTGAATTTCTAAACACTTATTACTTTCAAGGAAAAATTAAAGTTTTTAGTAATAAAACGTTTGAAGTGTTTAGTAATGAAACACCTAAGTGTTTACAACCTTAAACACTATAAACAAACGATAGCATTTTGCTAAACACTTAGAAGCGTTTAAAATTCGTCTACGAAACTGCTATAATTCGTTTATGGCTTTAAACATTGTAAACCCTGCCAATGTTTAATTTTTACATTTTGATTTACAGTGATAGCTAATATCAAGTCTTTATTCTATCGGCATTTTCCAACATGAAAGAAATCAGTCTATAACAAACTTTTAAGGAAGTTCCCTCGGCAGTAATAGAAAAAATAAATTAGTAGATAATGATCCGAATTTTCGGTATGTTATAGTTAACGAAACATATTATTCTATAAAACAAAAATTTGGGTACCTTGTCGATCAATTAAAAGAGTAATTATTAATTAAAAATACACTAAATAACGTAACCTGTTATGAGGATTGAACTTTAGACGTGTAATATTCATCTTTATAGAGTAGATGACAGTAATTTTAATAATTTTCTATATATTTGAGTTTATTAAGATTATAATAAAATATTTTAAAGTTGACGTTATCGTTAAAATTTTTGAAATATTTGTATTTGAAAGTGTTAGACAGCCTAAATAAATTTCGTTCTTAAATCTTATTGAAATATGGCAACGTCGCATGAATTTGTATACGTATATATATACATATATATATATATATGTATATATATGTTGATAGTTTAATACGCTATATTTCAATAAAATCAAATTAACACATAAATAAAAATATTAATTAAAAATATTTTTTAATCATTACAAAATTTTATTATATTTTTATCATAAATAATTAACAATACGTAAAAATTTTATCATATAAAATATGTCATTTGAAAAAAAATGTAATCTTTGAATACATTTATTTGAAAAATATTTTGTCAGTTAATATTATTTAGTTAGTGCAAGTTTTATCGATGAATTATTTCTAATTTAACTAGAAATTGATGGATCTTTATTATTTTTCAATGCTTCTAAAATATTAGAAATAATTCTTTCATTTTTAGTTATACGTGGACGACCATTTACATCACCCATTAGCAACTGTTTCACTGCATCTTCTCCAGATTTATAAGCTTCTTGTAGAACGCTCATTGAAAAACCAGCTGCTGCCAATTTACCTTTTATTGTTTTCGAAATTTAATTTGATAAATTTAGCGAGTTATTTTAGCTCTACAATTCTGCGACCATCGATGTAAACATACACAGGGTTATTAATTTTCTTTTTCCTTTTTTGGATACTAGCAAGTTGATTGTTTCGCCATAATTGTCGTTTCATTGTAATAAATTGTCCTTTTGACACTCCATGGTTACTTCTGACATTATAGAAATTCATCTTTAAAACATTCAAAACTTCACAGTAAGGTTAGTAAGCAGCCGCCAAACACTCGGTAAATATAACCATGTGTATGTTGTTTACTTGCGACGTTGCCAGACTTATGAGTCAAAAACTACTAAAGTCAATGCAAAGTCTACTTATAAATATAAAAAATTGTTGAATAAATCTTATTTAATATTTTATACATTCCACGAACTTTTTAAACATAATTAAATTTATGAAAAATGATTTATTATATTTTAGGTGAATTAAAATTTTTTTAAACATTTTTTCTAACTTGATTACTCGGTAGCGAGGGATCTTCCTTAATTTTGAGTCAGGTAATAAAATATTTGGGTAATAATAATATTTACTAAATAAAAAAAATATAGCAATAAATAAACATAATAAATATTTATGTAGCCAAATACTTGAATGAAAATTTCATCAATTTATATCGCATTTAACAAACTCTTGACATTTATTTCTCACTTCTGTTCTTTTCCATGCTATTTCTGATAATCACCCTCAACTACAACTATGCTCAGAGAGGCTGTCATAGTGTCTCTGTCTGATGGTTTACTTTGGAGATATCGATTACCTGCTCAACTCTCTACCCTCTTAGCCCCTCGTTACCGTCAACCACCCTCACATCTTGCTGGTCGCACTCACTTGCTCTTTCGATTGTCGCGTCGATGTTGCAGTTTACAAGGAGGGTGAATTCTCTCTCGTGCTCGCTCTTCCACATACCTACGTTGATGTTAGAGATGCTTGCCAACCCCTACTTCAATATTACCACGACAAGAGAACGAAATAATACGTCCGTTCTCGTGACGATTATCGTTATTGCGTTGAACGAACGGTTAGATTAATTACCGCATACTTTAACCCTTTACCTTTTTACGCATTAAATTGCCAAGTTCCGTTTCAAATATCTTATTAATTAATTTATTTTAGTCTCCCCGTGAATTTAACTTTTTTTTGCTTTGCTTACAATTAAAACGTAAGAAGATAAATAGAAATTAATATTTTATTCATCCTTTGAATTACTTTTTTCAAATAATTTTTTTATAGAAACAAATAAATATTCCTTAAAATAAATGTTTTAGATTCATTTTTAATGTAGAAATGAGTAATTTTTTATCCACGAAAAACATTAAGTTTTATTAACTTCCCATTAAGAAGTTATTGTAATAGGGTCGATTTTTGAAATTCGTAATATTATCATCTTTACGTTTTAAGACATTTGAAACTATATTAGAAGGTCTAAATATGTATGTATGTATGTATGTATGTATGTATGTATGTATGTATGTATGTATGTATGTATGTATGTATGTATGTATGTATGTATGTATGTATGTATGTATGTATGTATGTATGTATGTGCGTACATGCGTATGTCAGATTTTTTTTCGTTTTCGATATCTTCAGAATTAGTGAAGACATCAACTCAGGACAAATTTCATTTTAAAGATAATACAGTGAAGAAGATCTGAGAGAAGTTTGAAAAATTCAGTCCAGCCGTTTTGTTTATAATAAAAAGAGTGTAAAATAAGTTGAGTGAAGGCGACATTTGAAGTAGATTCTACTTATTAGAAGATTAACATTATTGATAACTGAAATCAATATAATATGATTATTAATAACTTCATATGACTCTAGACAATTATGTATTGTTCAGAACAACAGTTATTTTTTATAAACAAAAAAACCAAAAGATGAGAAAATTCCCTAGTAGGAACAACAGAGCCATTATTGGGCTGGTATTGGGATTGGCAGGAAGTCATCATTCAGCAATGGTTCTGTACTAAGTCATGACTAGATGATAACTTCATTTACTGGTAAGACTGGCATACCCTACTAGGGTTACAGATTTCAACTGATGGGAAATTCGTCGTCAGGGTAAAAACTAAGCCCAGACCCATTTTTCAAAGTAAGAATCAAATACGAATTTGAGAGACAATGTTAATCAAATGGGTGACGTCATATTAAAACCCTTTTAATGCTTTAAAATAGAACACTAAAATTTACAGTGTGTAATTGCAATTTGTTGTGAAGAACCAAACATTATCTTCATCTATTGAATGATAAATGCTACCAACGAATTGGGTCAATATTAGAAAAACATTGTTGAAAATGACAATACATATCTCCCAATAATTGGATACTGTTTATAACAATTCTATTTTATTATAAACAAAACAAATATTTTTCACTGTTTAAATCCATTAAAGGTTACAACTCATACTGTCAGTGAAAAGTGGGCGGTTCAGACCCATTGTTTTATGCTAAATATTATATTATATAGTGTATTAGATTTTATATATAAGTTTAAATATAATCGTAAATCCATACATTACTTATCCACTATTAAAACTCATGACTTAATGTCAGACAAAGAGATACAATTACAAAAATCGTTCGTGTGAATATAATTGAATATTTATAATTTTTTTTTATAAAATCACGAAGATTGCAATTCAATAATGATAATGATAATAACAAAAAAAAATTTTAAATTACCGTAACAAATACCAAAAAACAATAATTAAAGGATACAAAATTAAATCGACCAATCAGAAAAGAGTAACCATTTTGTTCGTGCACTGATTGGTGAATTTTATTTTTAAGTTTTCAAAATGGATACAAATAAAAATTGAATAATTTTTTTCGTTGTTAACTTGCGACAGCGCACTCGGAGAGCACACGTTGTATTTCTAGTTTTATTTAAAATCATATTGGAATAATCTCGAAAATATGTCGACTATTTTTTCGATATTTCATTTCAAGTATTCTATTTCCTGCAATATATTTCGGCATCCAAATCTACACGAGTATACAAATATACATTATATCGACTCACTTCAGTAACATATTCATTCATTTTAATGCGATATAAAAGACCAGAGAGTACTGTGAGATATAAATTTCTATCCAACAATTCTGTATACAAAAATCTTTTTGATGAATAATTAATTTAAATACGTTACTTGCAGAAATGAAAAGAAACGTGGATAAACAACTCAACTATATATTCTTATTATTCAATAGTGCAAATAGAGTTCACATTAATATATTTTTTTCTTCGCCACTCACCATAACATAATGCCTTTGCATTTCAGTTTTTTCACTAGCCAGTTTATCAAATTCCAGTTTCAATCTGAAAAACAAAAAGAAACAACTATGAAAAAAACCTGCATAACTAAATATTAAAAACCGAGTTTAAAAAATAAATATAAGCTACAATAAAATTTATTAGCATGTGGAAGAAAGATTAAGGAATGAATGAATTAAATGTTTTTCCCACACAGATACAAGCATATAAACAAATTGAAATAAAAGTAAAATAAATAAATAAAAATTGTCGTCTGTCTTGTCAGTATATAAAAATTGCTTTTGCCTGTCTACCCTTGGGAATTTTAACGTTTTAAGTTTACAGAGAAACCCCACACGAAATCCAAAGTAAAGAAAACTAGAGGACAGAAAATAAAAATAAAGCGAGGAGGAAGATAAAAAAAAAATAAAATAAATAGAGAAAAAAATAAAAAAGTGAGTATAGTAGAGGTTGTGGGTGACGTTAGAGAGAAAATGAGATAGAAAAACGAGAAAAATGAAGGAAAAATGTCATTGTCAATAAAAAGACAAGATAGCAGCTTGCAATGCTTCTTCAGATAGCGTAAAAAAAATAACAGAATGATGGGAAATGGAAGTAATGATTAAAATAAAAAATAAAATTTTATCAATATAAATAACAGTAAATTATTTTGTATACTTTCATTATCGAATTTTCATTATGCTAAGAGCTCATAAACTTTTTCATACAAACTAATAATAATTTCATCAAAACAAATTGAACAGCAGGTAAAGTATATACAATTCGATTCGCTATAATGTTTAATAAGAATAATTTAAGAAATGAAAATAAATCTATTGAAATATTATTCACAGTTTAATGATATTAACTATAAACATAGAGATAGAGGGGAAAATTGTTTTGTAGAAGTTTTTTGTTCGACAAACACATTACTGGAGAAGAGTTATACTGTAACTGTTTATAAAATGCAATTCAATACAATGGGTCAGAAAGGGAAAATATCAGTTGTGTGAACGTATATAAAGTAATACATTACACAATCATCAGGAAAGTAGAAATTTACAGAGTATTGTACAGCTTGATTCCACTGTAAATCGAAGGTGTGTGCAAATAACACACCTTGAGCATGTTAATGATAAATTGCTATACACAAACTATGATACTTTGTAGTCATTTCCAACACACTTCAAGGTGTGTAAAAATTTAGAATTTGTTCACAGAGTTTAACATTCAACACGTGTGGATAAGTTTACTGTAACACAACTTGGATTTACAGTGTCCTTCCATTAAAAATCGAAATTATTGGAACTCTGTTTCAAATGTTAAATAAGATAGTATTCTTTCAAGAAATTACAAGTAGACTATTTCTTGCTTTTGGCAATATTAGATTAGTTTTGTTTCATATTACAAGAAAAATTTTATCTGAGAAATGATGAAATGAGAAAAATGCAAATGATTTAATAGAAACAGATACTCACGAGTGATACTGTTGTTGAATAAAATTAAATTCCTCCTTGATTCTCTCACAAGTTTCCGCCACCATAAACCCACTCCCACGTCCACCCGCAGCCCCGGTGCTTCCACCAGCACCCTGAAAAACAAAACAAGAAATTTACTTAAGCATCAAATGACAAGTTAAAAATAAATGATGATTTTTTTTGCAATAATTGAAATGTACAATAAAAAATGTAAGATGTGTTAGGTAAATAAACACCATTTTTTAGAGGACTATAGAATGACGATTGAGGTTTTGATTGGCACTGGAAAGTTTACAGGGGTGGGTTCGTCAAGCAGAGAGAATGATTTGGCCACTTGTTGATCCACGTGGCTCGCGGGATACACGAAAGAGGGGGCCTTCCCTCTCTAACTCTTGTCAAGGGGTCTGAGAGGGTGAGGGAAACCCCTGTACAATGGGGTGGGAAATGCTGAGGGTGTTCACTTGTTGCAATCATTAAAAGTAGTCATCAAACAGGTTGTATTTGAATCAATGTTTAAATAATACCGTATACTCATTTATAATACTGGTCAATATAGTTATATTTGTTTTTCTGCTTTTACATGTAAGAATTATATTATATCATTACAATTAATGATTTTTCATTTTTTTATTATTATTTCCTATATTTATCATACTCAGCCATCTTTTGACTAACCTACACAGAGAAAAATAATCAGAGCTTTCTTATTTAACTAATCTTATCTATTAACCCATTAGAGGTCAAATAAAAAGAACCGATAATTATATTAAATTTATTTTCTTCTCATATTGTAATTAGAACATCAAAGGCATAATTCAGAAAAAAAATTCCCTCGTAATTATGTTGAATATACTTAAAAAGTGTTATAATAAACTCAACTAATTAGGTAACCCAAGTAAACTTTTCGAGATCTGTAATTGACACTTAAAAATATAGCTGTACAGTCGATCGAGTACAGTGACTTCTAATGGGTTAGAACTTATGACTTACTGTCAGACAAAGAGATACAATTACAAAAATCGTTCGTGTGAATATAATTAAATATTTATAATTTTTTTTTATAAAATCACGGAGATTGCAATTCAATAATGATAATGATAATAACAAAAAAAAATTTTAAATTACCGTAACAAATACCAAAAAACAATAATTAAAGGATACAAAATTAAATCGACCAATCAGAAAAGAGTAACCATTTTGTTCGTGCACTGATTGGTGAATTTTATTTTTAAGTTTTCAAAATGAATAAAAATAAAAAAAATAGGTCTGAGCACACTTTGTCTGTGCTAACAAGACGAACTTACTATTAGTAATTGTTTATAACAAATTGAAATAGTCATAATCAATGATTGTTAAAAGCATTCGAATCCGTGTGATATACACATTACTTAATTAATAACCACAATTTATAATTGTTTATAACAAATTCATATTGTTATAAACTATATAATAGAGTGAGAGTCCGATACAAAATCTAGGGCCTATTGAGTTACCGCATGAAACATTTTTTGTTGTGAAGTACTCATTATTTTATTCTTAAAAATTATAGGGCTGCTATTCTAAGTGGTGCACAAAATTTATATGATTTTTTAAAAATATAAGTACAATAATCGTACCGAAGAAGTTACCGCTTTAAAGTAGGCTTCAAATTTACGACTTACAATGTAAAATAAAATTATCATTTAACGCCTTGATGTACATGGGACCATCACTTCGGTAGTACATTTTTTTAAACAAGTAATTAATTAATTTAAATTAAAGTTTAAGCCCAGTTTGAAGTAGTAACTCGATAGGTACATTTCTTGTCAAAAAAAAAACTTAAAAAATGAAGATAAGCTTCATTATTTGCGTCTTCATCTATATTGTTATTAAAACTAATGTTATTATTCTTATATCTGGAATTGTTATCTATTAAATTATTAATATTTTTGTTCTCTTGACTCTTAATCTGAACAATCATTATGATCAATGTCAATATTATCAAAATTATTACGATTGTCTTCTTTCTCAGCTGTTCACCACCTTGTACGGCTTTTATTCAACATTATCTTCTGAGTTAAATAATTTAAAATATTAAATAACCGAAAAAAATTCGATAACAAATAATTGATAATAATGTATAAAATTTATAAAAATTGACGTATTTACGAATACTAACTTCTATATTCAACTCAAGACATAAAGCTACTACAATTTAATTTACAGTAAAATATTTATTGCATTGCAGATGGAAGAACGACTTGGCAATACTATAAATTGATCTTCGATCGCTGGTGTACTCGCACTGGGCGACAAAGTGTTGCCATTCTAAACGCGCTTTGGAAAATTTACTTTCCCCAAAATTTTTTAACCTAAAAACTCTGTTAATGTCTTCTCCGAAGTTTAACGGAAGCATTAGAATTTTTTTAAATGTTTTCATCAATTGGTTAACGAAAAAAACTTCACTACGCAACTTAAATGCAGTCCAATTTTTTTGAAGGTTTTAGAGATAACACATGCGATTTCCGATATCCTCCTATACAAAATTGAGGCACCATTTATGTCGCGTAGTCTGTATCCCGAGTAGAATTTATTTTTGGGAAAGAGTTTGCACCCAATTTGAATTTCCTAATTTCAAGTTAGGCACCAAATGGAATATCACATTAGGCCCACATTGGGAATTTAACGCTTGTTCCTATTGGGACCAAGTGGGGAAAGCCTGATTAAAGCAAGTTAAATATAAAAACTAAATTGCTTAATTAACTAATTTTTTATGATTTCATATTGTTGAAATACTTAGTTATTAAACGCATTCAATAGTATATTACGTACCAAGGCCAGAAAGTTGGATTTTCTGGCGTATGTGGTATCCAACTTTTTGGCTGTGGGTCGTATACCATTTTTCTTGATCCTCCGCCAAAATTGTGTAAATGGTAAGGGGGAGGGAGCGCGCATCAAGGACAATCGAAAATAAGATCATTTAAAATTTATTTAATATTGAAAACTACTGACATATATTGCTGGTACCTTTGGCATTACAATACGTTGTTGGCACTTTAATTTAAACTAATAAATTCAGATGAACAAATTTAACTATTACTAATAAATTATAATGAACAAACTTAATTTTAATCAAATAATATCAACAGGTACCGATCAGCGGATTTCTTGGGCAATGTTTAGCAATGTACAATAACTTTTGCTTTTTTATCAAATAATTAAATAATTTCCTCTTCCTCCTCGTGTATACTAATATGAACGAATCCATATGTAAAATTTTTTAACAGATTTATGTAAATCATTATTTATTTTAAATCTCAATAATAAATAATGATAATGGCTTAAATATTTTCATACCTTTAAATTATTTATTTTGTCTGAAACTACAATATATTTCCAGTCAATATAATCCAGTTAAGGTTTAATAAAAACAATTAACTATTATTGAAAGCACAAAAAATATCTAAAAATATTTTTATTATTACAAGACTTTGTTATTGAAATTTAAAGAAAATACCTCATTTAATGTAAATCTTTTATATTGTTACAAATTTATTTTCAATTCATCCTTACAACGTTTTTATTCGTTCTTCAAATATTTCAATGAGGATAATGTGTTATGTGCCTAATTTAGATGTAATTTTTGTGAGCCTAATGCGGACCTAATAAACATTTCCTAATAAATGACGAATGAAGACATTGTGTCAGTTAAGTTCATAAGGTTGTAAATGGAAAGTTATTGGGTAATGCGAAATTAGCAAAATCTTATTTCATCCAAAAAACAACTTTATTAGGCATAAGTTAGAAATACCTCATTTACACTAACCATTCAATGCCCACTAAGGGCACAATAGATATTTAGGCACGCCTAAAATAAATTCTACTCGGGATCAAATATTGAAAGATGACGTCGTTGTACTATCTTCAGCACATATGTTACTTGTCATTTACTCAGTACACGAAAAATTACAGGATTAAGAATTATAAAACCATCATTGTATTGTTCTTTTTACTTGAAAACATTTAATAAATACATGTCACTTTTCACTTAATACGTTGCTAAATAATTCTAAGGATGATATAAACTAATATTCTATTAATTTATTTTATCTCATCTCTTGAATGCATTCATAATAGAAAGAAATCATTCATTTGAGCTGAAGAAATCTACTCTAATAAAGGTTTTCTTAACTGTTAATGAATATTTACTCGATTTTTTTCCAATAATATATTTATTAGCTACTAATAAATTATGTTACATTCAAAGAAATCCTTTTATCAGTGTAGTTTGCAAGATATTCAATTTTACATATGAAAATGACGAGAGGAGAAAGTAGGATAACGGCCCAGTTGTTAATATGGTCCATTCGTTTATTATGAGAGTATGGTGTGTCGTCCGTCAGCTAACCCAAAAATATATTGAAGAATAACTTCTTTGCAATAAACGGAAACGTAAAAAGTGACAATTGATGATAAATTCACAGAGTAAAATGTAATTGAAAAAAAAACAAAAAGTGGCCGATAATCTTACCTTTTCCTGTACTGTCTCTTAAACAATTAAATGTCGTTTATCAGCAAATAAATTTTTAGAATTTTTTTTTAATCTAAAACTTTTTCTATGCTAAATATAAAAAACAACTTGGTATTAATTAAATTTCATTTTTTTAAGATAAAAAAACAAGTACTATGGCAAATTTTATTAAATTTGCACTTTCTACTTTTTATGTCAAATCTGTTTTAATTTGCCTTGCCCTTAATTGTCTTCAATTTTTAATTTCGTTTTTATTTGAAAATTTGTTTCATAAAAATGTTTTTTTTTTATCACTAAAAGCTTGTAATAATTAAAATTTATCATGAAATATTAAAAAATAATAATTAACAGCGTCAGTCGATAGATAAATAATTTGAATATAATTTCAATTTCAAATGGTCTCATTTAAATACCTGACAATCTCATAATTCCCGTAAAAGTCTCGAGGGATGGAAACTAAGTTGAACAATCGTTTTCCAATAATCTGAGAATCGATATGTCGAATAGCTCGACCGTGCACACCGTGAAATGGTGAGAGAACGATAGTAGAGAGTGAAACTAATTAATTTGCAAGATTACGAAAAGCAATAGAATGATTTTAAA